TTTTTTTGTTTTTCAAGACAGGGTTTCTCTGTGGTTTTAGAGGCTGTCCTGGAACTAGCTCTTGTAGACCAGGCTGGTATCGAACTCACAGAGATCTGCCTGCCTCTGCCTCCAAAGTGCTGGGATTAAAGGCATGCGCCACCACCGGCTCGAAGACTGGTTAGATTTTGAAATGTTACTTGTGCTGTCTCAGAATTGTGGTAGTAGAGCATCTCTCTTGTTAGGAAAAGCTGCTGTGTTAGTTTTGGGGGCAAGGGATGATGTTATTTATGTAGCCAGAGTGGGATTCGAGAGAAACCACCAATTGTAGCACACTCACATACCCCCAATCCATGCTGGGTTCTTGTGGTCAGGGTGGAGCCACTGTTTCTCTGCTTTAGACCTTGCTTCTAAGTAGCACTTAATAGATGCTGCCTTGGTTCATTTGTGTGGTCATTTCCATTCAAAAGAATAGAGACACAATTCATATTTTTTTTCTGAAGTTGATTGGTTCTCATAGAGGTCTGTTGTGGATGCAGGTCATGTTTAGACCCTTAACATCAGTGAGAAGTTTTACAAAAAGGGCAGCCTGCAAAACCAACTGGTTTCATTGATCATCAAACCAGTCAGTTGACTGCCCTAATCTTGGCTCATCAAGAACAGGTGATGTGTAAAAAGCATGCCTATGTTAAAAAGTATTCAGTTTGAACTTGGATTCAAGGAACATAGTTTAGAGGTTTAAAAGAACTGATTTCCAAGAGAAGATTGTAGTGGCTTGTGAGGTCCTTAGCTTAACTTTTAGGAATTTGGGGAGCTTGCTATTAAGGCATTGGTCACTTTAAATTAGTCATGGTTGGAATATTTAAACCTTAGAAATTGACAAATACTACTTTAGATTACACAGAACTGTTACTCCTATCTTCCAAGTAGACTGTTGTCTCCTTAGCTTGCATGCATTGATGAAGCAGGCAGGTCTGTGATGAGATGGATGTGAAAGTCAGCTGAGTGGAAACTCCAGCCAACATATGGTGAGGACTACCAGGGCTCATTCCTTTTCCAAGAGCCATTCCTAAAGCCTGTTTACCAGCATACTGCTGAATAAGGTGCAGGGAACACTATCACCAGTGTTAGCAAAAAGGAACATTTTCAGACTCTAGAAGTTAAAAACCAGAAGAACTATGACTTTCACTTCATTAACAACTCATGGTTCAAAAGTTTCCCTAAGTATCCGAGTGGATGGTATTGTGGGCTGCTCTGTGCTGACTCCATTGAATTCCTGGAGACTCCCCATTCACTTATTCATTAGTGAATGAAATGGGGGACTCATTTGTGTGTTTTAAACAGAGTCTACTTAGTATTCTAGCTTGCTATTGAATTTGCTGTATAGGCTAGGCGAGCCTCAAGCTTGTCATCTTCCTGCCTTAGCCTCTTTGTGTGTGACACTCTTTGCATATGTTTTTATTGAGTATCTACTTGAAAGCATGGAATGATAACTGATAGGTAGCTTGACTCTATTGTGAGAAACAGATGGAAAAACAGAGAAGTGTTATGAAAGAAAGAGTGAAGCATACTGCTCTGGGTGAGGCCAATTTCCAGTTTGGTGCTTAGGAAAGGTATCTTGCAGAGGCCTATGATCATGATCATGATCTGAGACTTCAGCGACAAAAGGATCCTGTCAGGTAAGGACCTCAGGAGACTGTTTCACCCATGTTCTAGGAGGTAGGTGCTACTATTTGTTCATCTTACCTGGGGGAGCCGAAGGACAAAGGATGCCAGGAGGCTTGCCAATGTCACATAGGTAGCAAATGGTAGAGATGTTTTTTGAATCAGGTTGACTTAGTCTCAGCTCTTAAATCATTTCATTACATCTCCTTCCTAGGAGCATCTTTGCTAGAGTGTTCTGGGCAGAGCAGACATTTTCTGGAGTAAGAAAAAAAGGGGGGGTCACTTCTAGACAGAGGACTTAGGAAAGAAATGGAAAGCACTTCAAAATGTGTGGCTCACTTTTCTCTTACTGCACTGGTGTTCTTTGTAAGACATTTTGGGAAAATGCTATGCTAAAAATCATTTTTTTTTGACCTATAAAACATATAATATACAAATAGTTGTTCCCCATTACCAAAAGTCTGGGTTATTTCCTTCATTAATTATCCTTTAAGGCAAATTTCATTGTAAGCCGTCTCTATGTTCTCTACTGAGGCTTAAAATGCATTTCTATCACAGTATTTTAATTTTTTTAGTAGAACAATATGTCTGACAGCTTTTGTTATTAAACCAGTAAGAATAACTCAGCATGAAAATAGAAACTGCCTGACCTCTGCTAATTGAAATGAATTTAAACCAGGACTTAAAGTGTACTTGAGGTTTTAACTTCAGTGTGTTCCTGATTTCTTTTTCATTATGTGCAGTACAGCCAGGTTGGAGCTGGGGTGCAGTGCTGGGGGACTGGAGTGCTAGTGGCTTTATGATTCATATTCAGACAGAGGTTGGACCTCACAGATATCCCATCTCCAGACCTCCTACAGTCCATTGTTCCAGGCACTCTGGAGTTGGCAGAAATTGCACATGAGGCAGAGTGGCTTATTTTAGTGTCCTCTTGTTTTTCTGTGGTCTGGAAAAGGCTGAGAGTGAAACCACTTCTTTGTGTAGCAGGAGACAGCAGCAACAGCAGCAGTGCTAACAACAACAAAATAAATGTGATGATCTCCATTTATTTGGAACACTAAAATCTTTGCCAGGAGCTA